CAGTGAATGTGGCAGCACAGACTTCAATACAAACTGTACAAGCCCAGCTCATGTACTCTGGTTGCCATCCTGTATTGAAGCCTTGACTACTATCATTACCTGAGCTAGATAGATTAAAGTTATTATGGGTAAGCACACTCAGGCTATAATCACCCCTTCATTTTTGTTAGTAAAAATGCTCATAGTAGAAGAATCAGTCAAGGTCAATTCCAGATTTAAGCTTCTTTGGAATACTGCAACATTTTATTATCATTTTGGCAGTATGCCCAGGCTCCAGCTCAAGCACTTAAACTCTGCCTCCCTTGAAATGGTGGTCTGCAGAGCCATCTCCACATACGTTATTATATGCTGTCAAATAGGTCATCTCAGTTAGGGAGCCCCCCAAAGAATCAGCTTGCTGACCATCCCTCAAACCTACACAAAATGATTTGATCACAATAGAGGGAGGTCTGCTGGAGTAAAGGCTGGGAGTTCTCTATCCGAACTAGCGGAAGTTTCCCTGTCTAAGTAATGTGGCATGTTGTTACATATTAGACATTTTTATTATCTATTGCAGTGGGGACCAACTTTTTTTGGTAGGTGTGCCACAGATTAGATCTCCACCCTCCTCAAATTCTGACCCCTTCCCCTGCCCATCCTCATACTCCCTTTTCTGCTCCTTGCCCTATCTGCTGCTCTGCTTTCCATTTCTTGCTCTATCTGCTGATGAACAGCCTGTACCCTCCCTGATCTGCTTGTGCCACAAGTTGGCTGCCCTGGGTCTAGAGGCCCCAGTTTCAATGTGTCTGAATATCATCTGCCCATAAAAGATTAAATTTTAGAACTAAGTGTAAAATTAAAGAAAATAGAATCTCCATGATCAAAATAAACAGTTTGGGGTAGAAAGTGAGAGCTGAACACTCTTTGGAACTGAACAGAGGCCTTAAATCTGATTTCATTTAGGCCAGCAAATGGCTATTCAATGGCAACAATTCACAATCATTTCTTTCATGGGCTGGATTTTAAAGATCTATATCCCTTGAACAGTGCTGCAGGCTCTTGTTTAATTATATCTAATGGACTTCTCCCTAATGGGATATTGTTTACCCCTGGGGAAATCTGAAAGGTTTTGAAAGTGAAAGGATGTGGGGTGGGGAAGAATGGCTGCTTCAAACAAACTATATATATTTTTCTGCCAAGTGTTTGGAATACCTGGATCTGCAAAGATAAGGAGCCCCAGGATAGCCATAAGAAACTGGCACTTACACAGCAAACCACACGCTACATATTGCTGACCTTGGCAGCATTATAGGGGTAACTTCCACACAGATGGCTTTGCTAAAGCAATCCCTGTAGTGCATTAGGCACTGACACTTTCTTTCCTAGCATTAGCCACTCAGCTGTTTAGTAGGTTGCAATATAGTGCAGGACCAAATTTCACTCTTCACTAATTTATTGATTCCATTTTGCCCTTTGTATATCGTTACAGTTTAGGAATACAATACCCTTTTGTACATGCAAGCATCAAGGAAAATATCTCCTTGTATAAGTAAAAAGAAAATCTTTGGGCAACATTTCCCGATTCACCTGACTGAAGTTACACATATCCCACACAGTACATGAGAATGAATGTCCTTGAAGCCCACTAGAATGTCTTGTCATTACAGCATTCATCATCATCATCATCATCATCATCATAAGTGTATAGACTCAAGATCAATCATCTTTTATTTTAACATGACAGAGTGCAGTGCATGGCTTTGCTCAGATCCCCAGAGAATAGTCTGACATTGGTACTGGAGTGCATGAATTTATCAGGTTATAGCAAGTAGTCACATATTAAAGGTTTCAGGTAGTTTTACCCCTAATTCTTGATAATTTGACAATTTGTAATGATTTTGCTTTGGAGGCTGCTATTCTGTGATTGGTCTCATGTAAATTCTGTAATGGATGATAGGATTTATACTAATATGGTAAAATTACATTTTTTGTACATGCTTCAAATCTGCATTCAGATAATATGAGTTGCATCAAAAAAGCAGGGAAGCTCACAAATGTTGGGGAACCATGGTGGAGGGACATGAGATGAGTTGTCTGTTTCTGTGAAGGATATGGATATGGACGTTGCTTGTTTATGGTAAGGGAGGCAATGCAGATACTCATACTTAAATCATGAGTAATGAGAATTAGGAAGCCTGGATTTTAGTCCCGATTCTGCCACAGGCACTGACAATTCACTTGGACCTACATTTTTTTCAGATGGTCCCCAGCTGAGAAGCCAAAAATCAGGAAGCGTTGAATTAGCAGCCAGTCGCTGTAGCATGTGCTGAGTCCCAGGGATGACTGTGATGCCCCTTGGTGGCCTCTTATCCGCTGCTCTGCCCTCACTTCAAAAGCTTGCTCCCCTTCACTTTACCTGCCACACCTTATAGTTATTAGATCCTTGGAAAGGGAGGTTACCCCAAGGATCCCTGATCCCATGCTGCTGTTCAGGTGCCAGTACTCAGTGCCTTAAGAGCTTTTTACATGGCTCCCGTTACCACACCAGTGGTCTCCAAGCTTTTTAGGTTGGAGATGACTTTTGGAATTTAAAAGGAACTGAAGATCTCTCTCCCCCCCACCCCCCCCCACTTCCCAGCAGCATGTCTGTGGGGAGAGGAGGGAAAAGGACCTGGGGAGGGGGGCAGGGCAGATTAAGGCCCCAGACCTAGCCCCACTTCCTCCCTTACTGCTGGGGCTTTGAACTTCCCCCTCCCCCACAGTGGCAGTGAGGGAAGGGCAAGCCCTGCACAACTGGGGCAGGGCAGGGGACAGAGCCATGAGTGGCTCATCCAGGGATGGGGGGGGCATGCAGTGTGGGAGGGTATGGGGGGGGTGTGCCCCTGGATCTGCCTGCAAGGCGGGGAGGGCTGCAGGCTGGGGCCAGGGCTGTGCCAGGCTCTTCCCAGCCAGGCTACGCTCAGGCCAGGTGGTGGCAGTGGTGGCACTAGGAGCAGGGCCACTGTGGGACGGGGGTGGGGCAGGGCAGGGGCAGGAAGGCCTCAGCTGCCACTGAGCACAATGCAGGACAGGCCCAGCAGGAGCACCATGGCACAACCTTCCAGCTTGCAGCCACAGCCCACCCTTCCCTGCACGGGGTTCCCCCCATGTCCTCAGGGGTTGGAAGGGGAAAGGAGAGGGGAAGGCTGTGCCGGGCTGTTCCTGCTGGCTCTGGCCCGTGCTGCGCTCAGTGGTGACGGTGAGAGTGGGGGGACTACGGCCCTCCCCTGTGGCCCCACTCCCAGTGCTGCTGCCGCTGCTGTAGCCGCTCAGCCTGAGTGCCGCCCGGCCAGTAACAGCCTAGTGCTGCCCTGGCCCCAGCCTGCACTGCTCCATTGGTAAATCTGGGGACATGCACCCCCCCCATGCCCTCCTAGGCTGTGTGCCCCCCCTGCCTCCATGCCCCTGGCCCGCTCTGCATGCCATTCTGGGCTGGACTTTGGGCCCCAAGCCCCGCTGCAAGTGCCCCCCGAGACCTCCACCCCCTTCCTCCCCCACCAGCTGACCTGCTGAGCTTGGGGCAGGAGTCACACATGTGCATGCGCACACACACTCAACCCCGGCAGCCTAGGATTGACTTCAAGAGGCTCCAGGATACACCGGTCGATCCCAATCGACTACTTGGTGACCACTGCCTTACACCACATCCATGCCTCACAGATGCCATCAATTAGCACACTCCTAGGCTATACTGGGACCCCGTCTCCACCCCTGCTGGGACTTGCAGTCCCTGTGCCATCACCCTTCCAGGCCCCCTCCTGGGCTCAGGCCACTATCTACACCTGGGCACTCTATCCATTCTTGCTACTTCTGGGTACCTTGTTCCTCCTAGGCACTGGACCCTCCTGATTCCCTCCAGAAACCAGACGTTCTTGGTTCCCATCCTCACTCTGTTGCCAAGCTCTGGCCCTGCTCCCAGGCCTGTTGAGACCACCACCCCTTCTCCTAATCTCTAAACCACCAGACCTACCTCAACTCTAAGGCTGCCTTCTCTTAACCTCTTGGAGTGCAGAGGCTCCTTCCATGTCAGCAACCAGGGTGAGACTGCCTGCCCCAGCTCTGGCTCTGGGCTTATATCCTGGCTAAACCCCACCTCTTCCTGGTCAGGTGCTTCCGTGCCTGCTGACTTCAGCTTATTCCAGAGCTTTCTCCCTTCTTAATGTAACAGGTGCACCCTATGCCTGTTACATTGGATTTATTAGGGTTTGCAAAGTATTAATATTCTCACATGGAAAGTTTTATTGCAAGGCAAAGAACATCATCTGCAGCTAAGACTGAAATGCTGTAGTGTTCACAAATTCTTTGATAAAAAAATGTAGACAGTGCTTGCATCAAGATCAAAATCCAGTTGAATGCAAATAGCTGCAAAAAAATCTGGATGAATTCTTACACAGTGAAAGCAATAATTGTTTATTTCCCAATCACTACAAAGAATGACTACATCAGACTCATGATATAGGATGTCATTAAATATTTGATTTTTTTTTATAGAATGACTTCATGTCAGTTTCAAAAGACATACAGGCTTATATTCTTCATTAAGATTTCACAGGGAGCACTCTATCATATTATATATTCCATGATCATAACCTATAATAAATGACACTTGCAAATTTAACAGGTTACTGTGAGTTTGCAAGGTATAGTTAGTGAATCTACAAACTGTTGAGTGAACTAAATCATACATGTTATTAAGCAAAATTTGGATTAAAAAAGCAATTCCCAGACTGAAAGTCTCTGTCTTTGTTCACTAGTGGATTGTATTCGACTGCTACTTAGTTTTAGTAAATCACCCGCTCTTGTTGTAGGCAAGCATCACACCTTGATTGACTTACCTGTGGCTCTCTGGTGCCCTTTGAGGCGTGTTTTGTGTATGTACCATATACAGCATGTAATTAATTAAATGGTTTTTTTTTTCATCCTTTCAGTTAATTGTGTGTTCTTTCTTTTCCTTTGTGCTGCACGGCTGATAACCAACTTAGGACCCTGCAATGGGACACAGACCCCTCAGTGCTGCAGCTCCAGTCTGACTCTGAACTTGGGTATATGTCAGCCCTTTTGTTATTTGTTTTACTATTTGTTTGCAGGAGTTATGTTAAAAATGCTTCCCATTAAGCTGGTTTTGTGAGAGTTGTTTTGCTTTGGCAGCAGCATTTGTGTGACAAAACAGTAAAACAACCCCCCAAAATGAAATAAAGCCCATGCAAAGACAACCTGCTATTTCTGTCGCTTGAAAAAATAATAATAACCATTTCATTCCAGATGAAATGTTATTATAGTTAGTGCACTTTAATGGAAAATATAACATGCATGTAAAATTATTCTAATGTCTTGTTTGTATTCATTGATTCAGATTTTTATTTCTGCATTTTGCTGACAAAGTGCTCTTTCTCCCACCTACTGTCTTTACCATAGTTAAGGTGTTTTCCTTAAGAATAATTGTCATCCTTTTCTTCTACCCTTACATTAGAAGTGTGACCACAAATATTTGTGCAATTGGCAAACATAATTAATGGCCATGAATTATTTTGTTTTTCTTATTAGTCTAGGTCAGTTAGGATTTCTTTATTTATAATGAGACTGACACAAATAATTTACCTGGCCAGGAATACTCTACCACAAGTTAGCAACAAAAAACAAAAAACAAAACAAAACAAAACAAAACACTGCTTTGGGCACTGAATCTAACCACTGCAGTTGGAGTGGTAGTATATATTTGAAAATGGTCATATTTATTAAGTATGAAAATTGTCTATTGTGTAGTTGGTATCATTATTAGAACTGGGCATATGTTATAAAGTATCTATTAATGGTGGGCTAGTTAGTGAAAATCAGTTTTATCCAGTGAAGCCTTGAACAGCTAGGGCTAGATCCTACTTCACCTTTTAGGCACTTAAGTGAACTTAGACACAAAGCTACTTGCAGATGTTTAGAAAAACAAAAGTGCTTTACCAGAAGAAGCATTACTTCAACCCGGCTCTGCAGCATCTCTATAAATCGGGTGCTTCAGCGGGGCATTTTGGCACATTTAGCTGATTCAATCAGCTATTAGATAAAAGCACCAAAAAATCCCCACTAAAGCCCCCGATCTATACAGACATTGGGCCAACTGAGTCCAACTAATGCACTGCCTCCTCTAGGCATATGCTGGGTTTGGCACAGGAGTGCACAGAATTTAAAGTAAAGCGACCTTCGTTTTCCTTTTTAACATCTGCAAGCATTAGTGTGATCCCGTTTGTCTCTGTTATAGTCCCTGCAAAAATGCAGAAATGTAGGTGCTTCCTTCTCCTCCTTGACATATTTTTGTAAATTTGTTGTAAGTCTAAGATGACAGAAGAGAAGTTTATAGCTTTTCAGGGATTTGAGAAGGGTGAAATTAGATCACTTTTAAGTCCACTTGGGTGCTTAATAGATGGAGTAAGATCTAGTTCCCATTTCGTCCTGGTGTCCTTAATGTCATCATCATACTGGAGATGGAGTTGAAGTTCAAAGTGAAAATGTGGCTAGTTGAGACTTGGTTTAGATATTATCTAGGTAAGCACCCAAACTGTTAAAAATATTCTGGAAAAGGAAATATTGTAGCACAAGAATTAGAGGCTAACTTAATCAATTCTTTCCTCTTAATTCTTCCCATGGTATGCAAGTTGTTTGGGTGTATTTCTTTTAGTGGGAGAAGTCAGAGGAGTTTGAACTAACAAACAAGAAAGGAAACTGAGATAAAGAAAAATGGCACAAATGAGGCCATGAAAGGTCCACTTGCAGTGACACTGAGGAAACTTTTCCCCTCAAGAGGAGAAGTGGTATCCCATCAATTTTTGCAGAATTTACATACTTCAAAAGTTACTCTTCCAAATGTGAATTGATACAGTACTGTCTTTCTGATCCTGCAGGCTGATATCACTATTTCACCTGTTGCTGTTTTCTCATTAGCAACGTTTTAGAATTTTGCAGCACAAGTTCAGAATCTAGTAGGGTATGATGACAATGGTGATTTCACTTTGCTTGCTACTTGCGAAAGCCTTGAGAAATAGCAGAGTCAGTCATTATGGATATCAGCATTGGAGGAAGGTCAAGAAAAGATTTGAAGAGTAGTAGTACAGCAGAGACTCTCCCACTTCTCTACAGAACAGTTGGTAGGTAATGTAGGATACATCAATGTTAGCTTTCAACCACAGAACTGCTAGGCAGCTTTTTTTCTCCTCCTTGTTAAGTAGGCTAGGAGATATGTCTTCAGATGGGTCCAGCTCCAGTGTAAAGAAATGACAGTGAAGTCACAGCAAGGCTGGTGAACCCCATTCCATAAAATTCATCGTGCTATGGACTGCATTTTTTAGTAACAGCCATTCTTCTAAAAAGGGGCATAGGTAAGAAAAGCAGGGCTTCCTTGGATGATACAGAAAAATTTGAAGGAGTAAGTACCGATACAGAAAAAAATCTGTAGCATGCACACAGATTATTCATGTGGCTAAAATGCCTGCTAGAAATGTCTCCCTTGATTTCTTCAGGCATGGGGATATGATTTTAATGCAAGGACTAGAGCTTTAGCTGTTCAGTTCTTAATGACTTTACATGATAACATTCCCATGAACAACTTTTGACTGAATTCCTTAAAATCTCCATAAATCCAAGGCCAGGAAACATCCAAGAGCATCTAAAATGAAAGATGTATGTGAATATGATGGTGTTGTGACTTGATGGTGAATGTGTTTCCTGTATGAAAGGAAACTTTAGTTCTGGAATAGGATATTTTAGTTAATAGAACTCAGGCACTGAGTGGGGGTTCCAGCAATCCCTGAACATTTAGGACCAAGGTTGAAAACAGCTTTTGAAAGGATTAAAGATTCCAGACACTGTAGCTGATTGATTTGTAGAGCCAAGAGATATCAAATACCTAGGAGGTCACGTGCTTCAGATGAAGGAAAACTACCTGATTTTAACAGGCCATTATTAGGGCATTGGTGGAACACTAGAGCTCTGCTGATTCATAAACTGTGTCTAAATGAGAGATATTTAAGTTTAAAAATTCAACAAGTCCCCTCACTGAATTTCTCCAAGACAGACATGAGCAGTCTAATAGTCTGCAAACTGCTGGCTCAGTTGTCAATATGGACTTTCACTCTCAACTCCTGCAAAGAGGGATTAAGTAAACTGACACAGTGCTATCTTTAGTATCTAGTAAGTTTCTATAAAGGTAGCACTAAGCTCTAGTATTTCAGATGCATAAATTAGTATTGAATTTGTATTCTGCTGACAGCACAATAAACGTATACTGGTGAAGAAACCTTTGGAATCTCAGTAAAATGAGTCATAAAAGTAGGTAGGAGTTGACTAGTTAGAAAGAAGAAGTCTATTTAATCATATAAAAATGTAGGTTTGAAATCAGCAATTGAGGGCAGAGGCACTTTGGATTGCGTTTTATTTTTAAAATACGAAGTCAAAGTAGCTACAGATGCACAGCATGTCAGGAAAGCTTTTGGATGTGTTGCAAATCCATATGCTATATCTCAAGCTGCTGAAGGTTTCATAGTAGTTTCATAGTTTCACAGTAGCCAGGGTCAGGAGGGACCTGAACAGATCATCTAGCCTGACCCCCTGCCACAGGCAGGAATGAATGCTGGGTTCACAAGACCCCAGACAGGTGATCATCCAACCTCCTCTTGAATATCATCCAACCTCCTCGTCCCAAGGTAGGGGCAAGGACCACTTCCCTGGGAAGTTGGTTCCAGATTTTGGCCACCCTAACTGTAAAATATTGCCTTCTTGTCAGCGGAGGCCCTGCACAGCGCACCCCCCCCCCCCCCCTGCCACAGGCAGGAATGAATGCTGGGTTCACAAGACCCCAGACAGGTGATCATCCAACCTCCTCTTGAATATCATCCAACCTCCTCGTCCCAAGGTAGGGGCAAGGACCACTTCCCTGGGAAGTTGGTTCCAGATTTTGGCCACCCTAACTGTAAAATATTGCCTTCTTATCTCTAACCTAAACCTGTTCTCCATCAGCTTATTACCATTGTTCCTCGTCACCCCAGGTGGTGCTGGGGAGAAAAGGGCTACCTATTTGCTGTTGATCTTCCCTGAAGAGTCTGTAGGCAGCCACCAGATCCCCCCTCAGCCTCCTCTTGCTGAGGCTGAACAGGTTCAGGTCCCTCAGTCTCTCCTTGTAGGCCCTATCCTGCTGCCCTCTCACCAGCTGGGTGGCCCTCCTCTGAACCCTCTCCAGGCTGGCCACATCTCTTTTGAAGTGCGGCGCCCAGAACTGGATGCAGTACTCCAACTGCGGTCTGACCAAAATCGCATAGAGGGGGAGCATTACCTTTCTGGACTGGCTTGAGATGCACCTTTGGATGCATGACAAGGTATGGCTGGCCTTGCTGGCTACGGTCTGGCATTGGTGGCTCATGTTCATCTTGGAGTCAATAATGACTCCAAGATCCCTTGGTTTCCATGCAGCATATTCAAACATGCATTGCTTTTGTTCTTCTCAGCAGAGTCTTGAAAACTGGCATCAGGGTGGATTATTCATTCATTTTTTTTGTGGAAAAATGAATCAAGAGCTATAACAACAGCTATTGTTCTAGTAATTTGTTACTTTGATTACCTGCTAAATCTACTGTTGTTCAAACTCATAACACTGAGGCAACCAGATGTGTTAGAAAAAATATAGCTAATGCAGCAGTAACTCTAGGTGACGAACAGCCTAGCTGACTTCTATATGCTGCAGATATACCGTATTTACCTGAATTCAAAGTTACTTTGAATTTAAGATGATCCCCCAATAATCAGATTCTATACATTGAAAATTTATAAATTTGTTTTTAAGTTTCCATTTATAGAATCTAACTATTGGAGGGTTGTCTTAAAGTCCTCTCCCCTTCCCCCCACAGCCCGCCATAGCAGCAACAGGGAAAATAGCAGCAGAAGGCTGGCAGTAGGGGAACTGCCAGTAGTGTTATGGACAGAAGGCTGGCAGTAGTGTTAGGGACAGGTGGCAGCAGGGTTGAGTGGCCTGGCCCCTTTCCGTTGTTCTCTGCCACTTGTCCCCCTCCCCCAACTTGCCTCTCATGGTACCTGCTCCCCTGGCATCTGTTGTCCCCCACTTGCCACTTGTCCTTCCCTAGTACCTACCCCTCAGCCAGCACCCCTTGGCACCTGCCCACCAGGTGGGCCGCCACCTTTTATTTCTTTTGCAGATCTATTTTAGTTTGATACTTTGATCATGGCTCTAGGTTACCCTTAAAAACAAGTATATGTTCTCCTGAAAGTCACAGAGAGAAGGAATCTTTTGATTTTGGTAGTTTTCCAAATACCTTTTATGAACTGCAGTTTTACTACAGAACACCAGAGGAGTGACAGAGAAATTAGTTTATTGCCTTGTCTATCCAGATATGCCCATATACCATTCCACCAAATTTACCTGGAAACAAGTTTTGACAGCTGGATTTATTTGGCTGGGTAAAATATTGATTGCAGAATAATTAATCTGATTTTTATTCAATATTCTATTTACCAATAAATTATTATTTATTCATCCATTTCTACAGATAATCAAATAATATTAATGAATCCAATTACCATGACTAAGCTTTTCCACTTTTTGACCAGCTGTCTCTCTCATATTTTAATCTTGGTTAGGTCTTATAGCTTCCTTTTCATGTAGTATATTTTAAAGTTAGGGTAGCAGAAGGATGGCCCTATTATCTAGCTTCTATGCCAGCACTATGTTCTTGTTGGCTTCATCAAGTCCTTACAGGGTAGCTGTCGTAATTCTCATGGCAAGTGGTGTTCATAAAGATTCTCCTTTTATCAGGAGGAGAAAACTCTCTATTCTTTCTCTCCATATCTCCATAGTCCTGATCTAGAGAAGATGCCCATCCTTTTTCATTCATGCTTTAGCCTCCTTGCTCCTTTCCTATCCTTCACTCTCCACTATGTGGATCCCAGGGCCAGTGAAGTACCCTCCCTCGGTCCTGGAGAAATTGGAAGAATATTGCTTCCTCATAATAGAGGCATGAACAGCATAAAGAGGGCCACCTCTGTGCACAGGTTTACTGGATACAAGAAGAAGCCTTAGTCTTACCTCAATCCTGGGTAAGCTTTTTGAGAGAATTATCCTGGTGCATGTCCACGAGGGGCCAGCAGGGGAGATTATGCTTAGGGGCAACCAACATGGGTTCATTAGAGGCAGGTCCTGTCAGACCAACCTGGTGGCCTTCTATGACCAGATCACAAAATCCTTAAACGCAGGGGTAGCAGTGGATGTAGCCTTTCTGGACTTTAGGAAGGCCTTTGACACGGTCTCTCACCCCATTCTCATTAAAAAACTAGGGGACTGTGGCATCAACAACTACACAGTCAAATGGATCACTAACTAGCTGGAGGGCCACACCCAGAGAGTGGTGGTGGATGGGTCATTTTTGACCTGGATGGATGTGGGCAGTGGGTTCCCCCAGGGCTCGATCCTCGGGCCTGCACTATTCAACATCTTCATCAGCGACTTGGACGAGGGGGTAAAAAGCACCCTGTTCAAATTCGCAGATGACACTAAGATGTGTGGGGAAGTGGGCATGCTAGAAGGGAGGAATAAGCTGCAGTTGGACCTAGACAGGTTACAGGGGTGGGCAGATGAGAACAGGATGGGTTTCAACACTGACAAGTGCAAGGTGCTGCACCTGGGGACGAAGAACCAGCAGCATACCTACAGGCTGGGGAACTCCCTTCTTGTCAGT